TTTTAAAAAATTAAACATTCGTTAAGTTACTAACGTTAAGTGAAGACATCATAAATATTAAGTGATGATTTTGCTAGCATTAAATGATAAGATGAACAAATTCTTAAGCTTGTTTTAATTAATCGTTTTCTTTGGAGCTCCAAATTCCCAAATCGACTCCTTTTAGTCAAGTTAAACTGTAAATTTGTTTGGCTATGTGTCCATTTGGAAATTCAAAGTGAGAGTTAAATTTCACTTTAATATTTGTCCATGTCATCACTTAATGCTAGTGAATCTGACATATATGCAATTTTCAAAATGTTAGGTAGTTATTTGATATGTTTTAAAATGTTATGACCAATTTGGAACCACCTCCAAAGGTTGGATGGTTATCTGCACTTAACCTAATTTAATTTCTATGTGATATATTTACACTAAATGGTGGGAGAAGCAATTGATATCAAACTTGTTATTCACAATATTCGAACCTAAGGCCACTAAAAAAAATACCACTAAATTGTACTAAGCGGCAAAAATTTGAATCATTTCTCAATTTATGCTTGTTTTATTTACTAGAAAAAACTATTTTCTCATTATTTGATTTCTTCGTTTATGGCAACTGATTATCATCCAAAACTATGAAACATTTATTTTTATTGAATTTTGAGAGATTACATTAATTGATTATTATTATTTTAGAGATTTGATTAGTTTATGTAATTTTCTCAAGGCATGCAACAATGATACAATTGGCAAAATGAATAGTTAGGACACCTTTTGTAATGACCAAGGTTCTAAAAAACGTTAGGCGCTAGTCAGGTGTCGGGTTGGGGTCTAGCGCATAGGCGATTGGGCAGGCGCCTAGACGAACTAGGCGGATTTAAGTAAATCCATTATATTTCGTGTAAATAAGTGTCTGTTTATACTTAAAATATATAATTTCATTATAAACTACAAAATAGAATGACATATGTATTATGAAGTATTAGAACATAATGAAAACATGTGGAACAAACATTTAGTGTGTGCTCATTTAAGTATTCAACAACTCTCTTACAATTTATTGAAAAAAATTAAATGCAAATTGAAAGTTATTATTTTCTGTCTAAGTGAGTCGTAATCTAGGTAGGTGCCTAGCGGTCTAGGCAGGCGCCTTAGTTGGCATAGGCTCCCTTTCTCAATTTTCAAACTCCTAGGCATTAATCGGGGCCGTGGCCAGCCACCTAGCGCCTAGGCAGGGATTTTTAGAACAATGGTAACAACCCATCACCAAATATTTTGGTTTTCATAATTTTAATGCGTGAATTTATGAAAATGCCCTTCGAGGCAAAAACGTTGACTTTTGTTGACTACCTTGCTGTGTCACGTAAGACTCGTTTCCTTGGCATATTCTTGTCATACTCATCGTTACGAATGTGTGGGCACAAGTGGAATCAGAATTGGAGTTACGATGAACGTTTTACGAAACTACAAAGTCGAGGGGCAAAATAGTCAATTCAATGTTTTAGATTTTGGGGTGGGATATTTGTCTTATTTTATTACTTTTCTGGTGACCTGTGGGGCCCACACCCCATTTTTTCCCCATGTCCTTCCCTCCCTCAAGCTTTCGGACACTCTTGAACTCTCCCTTACCTTTCTTCTCTACAACTATCTACCTCTTGATTCCCGAGCACCACGCACATACACACACATGCAAACATACAACAGCAACAACAACCTTACCACCATCTCTCAGTTTTCCCTTAAATCCCCTTAGCACTCTTTCTTCGTCCAACTTCTTTCTGTGCAAAGGAGCACAGTGACATCACCTCGTCGTACTCCGGCGAGTTTCTTGAATCTTAGACCAAGGTAAACCCCTGGAACCCCATAGATTGTGTTTAGTATTATATTAAGGTAGTTTAGGAGCTAATCATACGTGTGGATGCAGAAAACACTTCGGGAGAAACCTTCTTTAGTTTCCAGTGAGAACCCATGCCTTCCAGTTCATTTTCCTACTAACTCCGGCCACCATTGAGGAAACCAAAGGTATATTTCGACTCCTTGTTTCTCAGGCTTCAATTTGATATATTAGATTACTATTGTTAGTTGAGATTTGAGGTTGATCGGAACTTGGGAAGCTCCGGCTTTCTTCTTCATGGAATCCGACCTGAAACCAAGTCGACCCGACCCAAAAACCCAAAGATTTGACCCAAAACCGGCCCAAACCATTGGGCCATGTAACCCAATAACCTAGCCCAAAACCCTTGGCCCATTAACCCTAACCCGGTCCAACCCATCTGACCCATAACTCGGATCTAACCAGGCCCAACTCAATAACTCAGCCCAATCCAGCAACCCAAGCCCAGATCCGACCAGGACCCAGTCCCAATTTCCTGGGCCGACGTATGGCCTGCGCGTCATGGCTAGTGCGTGGAGCACACAAACCTCTGCCGCCGACTTTTTTGGCGACCCAACTCGGTGCTTGGCGAAGCATGCGATGGTGCGTGAGAGTACCTGATGTCCATCTTTAAGTTTTTTGACGTGTCGAACCTAAATCCGCTGCCCGTTTTCCCAAATTCGATCATTTTAGTAGAGTTTTACTAAATGGTCCCTATTTGTGTTTAGGTGCATCAATGGGAAGTGACTCCATCCTCACTAGCTCAAGCGGCTCCCGGGCAACAAAATACTGTGAGTAGACCCCTTCTTAACTTGCATGTTTTTATAAAATACTAGGCTTGCATTCAAGAAAAGCTTGATTTCATGATTTTACATTTACGCATTATTTATGATTTCTCAAATTTACGTTTTACGAAAGATTATGAATTATTGGATTTTCGTATTTGAAATTCTATGGATCTACAAATGTGATTTATTATGGATTTATAAGGTGAAGATTTGTGCTTTTGAGCTCCAGATTGATATGAGGTTTTTAAGGTATGAGTTCGGTGCTTATATAGTGAGTTATCATACAACACATACACACAATCGGGTATGTAGACATCTATGGCCATAGGACACAGTTGATGATATTGATGATATTGATGACATACCCCCAGCTTCACTAGCCCAGGTGTCACATCCCGGGTTCGGCTTAATTGTAGCAGTTGTTTCTGGGAACTCACACGAGAACTTTCCAGTAGGTCACCCATCATAGGAATGTTCTCGCTCGAACTTGCTTAACTGCAAAGTTCTTATGGGATCTGTAGTCACTGAGTTCCCAAAAGGCCTCGTGCCATAAGGAGGGGAACATGTACATATAAGGCACATCACCCCCTCTTTGTAGGTCGATGTGGGATCTTACAATTAACCCCACTTAAGGGGAACCCGACGTCCTCGCCGGCACATCCTCACCGAATAGCAAAGTGACTCTGATACCAAAGTGTCACATCCTAGTCTGCATAGCAAGATATTGTCCGCTTCAGGCCACGCCCTCATGAATTTGTTCTTGGGTTTCGGCACGAGAACTTCCTAGGGGGTCACCTATCCTAGGACTGCTATCGTCTAAACTCGCTTAACTTCAAAGTTTTTATGGGATTCGAAGCCAGTGAGTTCCCAAAACGCGTTTTGCTAGGAAGAGATGGGCATGTACATATAAGGCCATAGACCAACCCTCACCCCGCCGATGTGGGATCTCACACCAGGGCTAGTGTCGGTGTGATATGTTATATGTATATGCTTATTCTTCGGTGTAACCCGGAGTCGTACAACTTCACCCTCGGATGATGGACCTCTCTTTCTTCTCTGGCGTAACCGAAAGTCGTACAGCTTCACATTCGGGTGATGGACCCACTGCATATACATATATATGTTATATCCTTTTCTCTGGCATAACTCGGAGTTGTACAGCTTCACCTTCGGGTGATGGACCATGGTTTCTTCATTGGCGTAACCCAGTGTCATACAGCTTCACCTTTGGTGATGGTTATGTCTTCGGGGCACTATGATACCCCTAGTTAAGTATACCATTGATTTGAGTTATGAGATGCTTGGGTTTTGCCTTCGGGTGTTTCGATACCACTTTTAGAGATGATTTTATTGCTACAAATATTTTGGCATGTTAGAGTTTTTGGAAAGATCTATATGTAGTATTATATGTGTTTTCAAAACAGGGGGTTAGTATGTTCAGAAATAAAATGGTTTTCTTATTATTAGTATTATTATTATAAACTTTGGTCCACTCACCTTTTGTTTTGCGCCTCCTCAGGAGTTAGAATCGAGGCACCCGATCCCGGCGTCAGGGCACTTCCGCATAGGCATCTTGAGCCTTCTCTGTGTAGGACCCATTCCTCGGTTCATACCTTTCTATAATAATTCATTCACATTTTTCTTAATTAGTTGTATGCTCTGAACACGGTTCTGCATCAGTGTATTTCTTTCTAATCACATATTTAATTTGTATGCATGTTTAAAATGACTTCGTCACCCTCGGGTGTCGGTCAACATGTACCTATCATGATATTTGGGGTTATTGGGGTCGGAGCGTGTCATCTTTTGGACAACATGACTGCAATAATCATGTATATTTGTTGATATTTGTCACAGCAAGGTGATGGCATGGCCAAATTTAAAGCCTACATTTGCAACTGTTTGTGGAAAGATTACAGTGCAGTACTAGAAAGGATGGAGATCTCATCTCGAATACAACTGCTAAGGAGACTCAAAGTCAGATTTTCTATGGACTTTCTGCCATCTAAAGTTTAACGTCAATTTCTATGTCAACATTCTAAAACATTGTGCCAAAGAACATGAGCGTTGCCCTTGTCCATATTAGTCATGGTGGTCGAGTTGCCTACAATAAAAGATTAAGTATTTCCAAGTGAGAGAGTTTAGCCATGGAAAACTCTCAAAGTTTAAAGATAAGTTCTGTTTTTCTATCTTAATTTCTAGGCTTCAAAGCCTCCCAATTAGATACTATTAAGCTCAGAACTTCCTCCTAAATTAATTAACATCAATGCGGGGACTCAAAGTAAAATTTTGACTTAGATAGTTTGAGATTTTTTTTCATTTCATTAATGCTTACAAGTATGTTCGTTAGACACTTATTAATGCAACAGTTGTAACTGTTTGAGCTGCTTAATCAACACATCAAAGTTAGTGTAAGAAGACCCACCAAATGTCGTAGCTGCTTCTGCTTTCTTCTTCCATTCCTTACTCTTTTCCCTCATCTCCTTCCCTTTGTCACCCTCCATCAATTCCAAATGCAGAGTGAGCGAAACTACAACTCAGTAGGGAACATGTTATCATTAATCACAATTTAATTAAATGATGAACCATGAAATGCAACTTAATTTCAATTACCCCAATTTGTTAATTTATATAATAAAACACACGGACTTGCATGTATCATACCATGCATTTTACCATTGTAGCGATGGTCCGAATGCTGTATAATACAAACTAACCGTCGTAACTCAATCATCCCAAATACTAGTTTTGTTGGTCGTCTTGTCCTTCTCTCGACCTCCAGAGTCCCCACTATTTCGTACCATTCCTATAATTTCACTTTTGCCACCCTTGATGGTCCCTACGAGTGTCGAACTCAGCCATACAAAAGATAGTTCCATTTCCATATCCTAATCTCAAATAACCAATAAAAATCATCCACTCCAATATGCAATGATACATGCATATAATCAACTTATCACAATATCCACATTATCAACAATAACAGTGAATAAATCATATTCCAATATCCAGCATTATATCAATTATAGAAATATATCAAGTATAACACCTATTTCACAAAAGCTTAAACAAGACAAATACCCCAATAGTGATAAGTTTCCAAAAAAACCCCCTACCTTAGTTCCGAAGCTAGAACCTAACTTTATGTTCCAACCCAAGTGCCAAGCTCCACGAACAAGAAGCTCCTAAGACCATGTCTTTCTTTCACTCTCAAAATAACTAATTTTGTAAGAGAGCCTAAGAGCCTACTCAGGCTTTGCTAAGGCACCTTCAAATTGCTCATTCACGGAAGGAGATTTGTGGGCGGATCACAAGTCCAAGGAATATCTGATAGATTGCAGTCAGCCAAACTTAAGCTGCATAAAGAATGTGGTAAAATTGAGATGACCCCTTGACCAGATTGATTGAAATGATTGGGCTGTACAGTGTAACTGGTTTGTAGCGGTTGTACAGGTGGACATAGCTCTGAGCAGCGGCAAATATTAAGACATCGAAGAGAAATCATGCTAGTTGTCGGAAATTTTATGATACTTTTGCAGTCACTTAACTTCAAGACAAGAAGTTTGTCCAAGGGTGCAATGGATGCACGAACTTCAACCAGTTTTATGCAATCTTCAAGAATTAATGTCTCAAGGTTAGGAAATCCTGATAAATCAGGGGTTGTCTCAAGGTCATGTAAATGACAAAGATTAAGGAATCTCAGTTAGAAGAAACTGTATAAAGAGAAGTAGTTAGTTTCTCCAAATATATGACAATACAAAATCCCTAAATTTGTGTGTGAGAGAGAGAGAGAGAGAGAGAATCATACCCTAGTTCCCTCCCAAAGATGTTGCAGCCTGCTGTTATGCAACTCAAGGGCAACTAGATATTCCAAACAAAAATTGGCTGGTATTGAATCTAAAGGGAATCCTCGCCAAGATAACCATACTAATTTTTTTGGAAAATCTCCATAGTCGCCATTAATTTTGACATTATTGAGCAGGAGAAATTCAAGATTGTGCATTTTGCTATATGTCTCTGCTTTGAAAGCTAGTTCATCTGATGAAGGAGTTAAAGTTGGTTTGGAATTATTCATTGGTTCCGAGTAGAAGATATTACGCCATATCTGTCTTGAAAAGTCACTACGTTTCTCACTGGAAAGGTTAAGCAGGAGGCCTTTAATAGTTTCTGTACCCTGCTAACCAATAAAAACATGGGCGAAGTTATTTACTAGTATTCATTCACGGGACAACATACATACATACGAAGAGTAATTACTTAGAGTTAATTTTCTCAAAATATTAAACGCATCCTCTTGCCACACTCTACCACGCTTTCCGAGGTCCTTGGGTGATTCTTTGCGAATAATTCCCATTCCCATGTCTTGAAGTAATGGATGCATGAACAATTTGTCAACCAGGCCAAATTCAACTAGACATTTATCAACTAGATTTTGAATTCCAAACCTTGTCGAAAAATCACAGGAGTCCAGTACTGTAGCTGTGAAATTCATGTCCTTTCCTATGAAGAAACATGCAATATGGAGGAATAATCTTTTGTCATGATCTGATAGAGAAGAGAAACTGATTTTGAGAATATTTTGAATTCTGGGATCGCCAGTAATCAGGCTCAAGTTTTGGACTGCACTTTTCCATGCCTCTAGAGTTTTTCCAAAGAGAGAGGATCCCAGAACTTGAAGAGCCAATGGGTTCCCTCCACAGTGTTCTATTACAGAGACTATATAACACTCGTAACCTTGGACATGATAGTCTTGTTTGAAGGCATGCCAACAGAAGAGCTCAAGCGATGCATGGCTATCTAGACCCTTAACTTTAAACGTTGCAGACACTTGATCACGAGCCTTTGATATATTTTCATGTAGTCTAGTGGTTATGATGATTTTACTTCCTGGATAAAACGATTCTCGCATTCCAAGAATTGCATTGAATTGGTCCAAGTCGTTCAGACCATAAAAAACAATAAGAACTTTTCTCCCACGCACAGAACGTTGAATCATGTTTATTCCTTCACCCTTGTTGTATATTTCCTTTGGGATGTCAAACAGAAACTTTTTGTGCAAGCAAACGAAACGATGGACAGATTGTGGTGAATCAGGTGACGTTGCTGAGGTAACATCTGTGAAAAAGCAGCTGCGCGGGAATCCGTGAAAGGTCAGGTTATATGCAGCTTTTGAAATATGAAAATAGAGAGTAGGAAATAGTAATGTAAACAAATGAATGTTGATCTATACCCATCCATCTTTTTTTTTCATTATGAACTTGAACTGGTACCTGGGAGATGTGGGATCTAACAGTTATTAGAACTTGATTTTTTACGCGATATATTTACGTGGGAATCAATTGATATCGAATTTGTTATTCATGATATTCGAATATAAGACATCTTAAAGAAAAATATCATCAGACTAAGTGACAAAATTTTTGAATCAATTCTCAATTTATGCTTGTTTTATTTACTAGAAAAAACTATTTTCTCATTATCTGATTTCTTCGTTTATGGCAACTGATTATCATCCAAAACTATGAAACATTTAATTTTTATTGAATTTTGAGAGATTACATTGATTATTATTATTAAAGATTTGATTAGTTTCTGTCATTTTCTGAGCATGCAACAATAATATAGTTGGTAGGTGAAGATTTAGGACACCTTCAGGACAACGTGACTGCATTGATCATGTATATTTGGTTATTTAAGCGTTGATAAACATGTTCATTTTTATTAGTGACATATCATTTAGTCTCCAAATTTAGTATCCCTAGCATTATCCTTGTTGATATTTTTCACATCAAGGTGATGCCATGGCCAACTCTAAAGGCCTACACAACCATTTGCAGAAAGGAGATCTTCTCAAAGTGAGACTCTTTATGGACTCTCTGTCACTTTAATATTAATTTATGTGTCAACATTATAAAACATTGTGTAAAAAACATAAGGTGGTAGAAAGTCCGTAGAGAATTCCACTCTTGAGAAGGTCTCCTTAGCATTTCTCTTGTTTGATTTTCCAAGGAAAGAGCGTTGCCTTCGTCCATATTAGTCGTGGCGATCGAGTTGCCTACACTAAAGGATTAAGTATTTCCAAGTGAGAGAGTATAGCCGTGGAAAACTCTCAAAAGTTCAAAGATAGGTTCTCCTTTTCTATCTTAATTTCTAGGCTTTGAAACCTCATTGCCTTCTTAGGCTTTAAAGTACGAAGACCGATTTATTTTATAGCATTGAAAAACAACCACAATGTGAGAAAATTGTGGGGTGGCTTAGCTATTTTTGAGAGTTAACATATACTTAAGAAGGAAAAAGTAATTTGCTTTTAAAAAGAGATAATAATATAAAGTGTAGTAGTTCAGTATTAGTGATTTTTCGAAAATACCTTACATGTGGGGGAATCTGCTGAAGACTGAAGTACTAGCAAATTACTTAATAAGTGATAAAGATTTTTACCGCATGCAAAAGTAAGTATAAAAACACTTTAAATACTTGCAAGAGTACAAGGTAATTGTAGTAAGGTCGTTCTCCACAGGGATTGAATGAATAATTTGTATTAAACCAAATTTTAATTAATAATTTAAAACGAAGTTTGAGAAAATGTTGATTTTGTGATTTAAAATAATAAAAATGAATTTAATAGAAAATAATTAAATAAGGTTGTGACGACCCGTCCCGAATTAATATATATATTTTATCCTCAGATGTGTGGAATTGACGATTATGCCCTCGAGTCGTAGTGACATGAATGTATCTTTACAGTTTTAAATTACTTTTTTTGCTGACGTAATTAAATTGTACATGACGTCCCGAGAGCATTGACGTGAGTTAGGGCCGAATCGGGCTTGTAACGGAAAAGTTACGAATGTTAAAATACAATTGAATCAAATAGGAAAATAAAATTAGACCAATTGGGATCATTCCTGTTTTCTTGGAGCCCAATTAGGATTGAGTTGAAGTATATGTTGGGCCATTTGGGTTTTCCTTTCTTCTTCTTTCTCACAGCTACCCAATAGGGAGCCTTGATATTTTCCTTTAGCCAATCCCGTAGCTAAATCACACACACACCCACACGTAACCTTTCTTCCTCTCTCATCTTTCTCGAAATCTCTCTCGTTCGTACCGTTCGTACACCCATGCACCCAACCATCCTCATCTAGCATAGATCGAGATGTTGGAGACCACCTTTGAGTTCGTTGCAAGCTCACGAGCCTAACCATACCCTTTGTTTGAGGGAAGGATGTCGAAATCGTGAGAACTTTCGAACTCCGGCGAGGAGTTCTGTTGCTCCGATGTGATCATGGTTGATTTAATTGGTTTTGAGGCTTAAGAAGGTACTCTTCTAGTTTCCCTAGCACTTTGGAGTCATTTTGAAGTGTTTTGGACGTCGGGACACTAGGGTTTATCAAGTTGCAAACTTAGTCGGAATATCGAAGAATTTTCAGACAACTTCTGGTCGGTTTTAGGGCTCCAAATAGGTAAGGTTTTGTTCTCCTTGTTGAGAGCTTCAAATCCATATAAGATTTATGGAATTTGGTTGAAAAGTGAGTGAGAAAATCGAATTTTAAATTTTTCCAGAAACCGACAACACAGCGGCGACCGGCGCCGGAATCTGGCAACCCACCGGAGAAGAAAGGAGAATATTCCGTCAACTTTGACAGAATATACAAACGGCATCAGGTATATTTAACGAAATATTCTCTAACGGCGTTAAAGTTTCTGTCCAATGTGCCAGGCACGTGCCTATGCGTGGTCGGAATGTGAGGGCGCGTGGGATATCGGAAAATTATTCTAAAATATGGGGATGCTCGTGGTGTTGAGTAGGCCACAATGGTATATTCAAACACCCTAATTGAGCAACGTATGAGAAGTTATTATACAGTTTTGATTATGTGCTTAAATTAACGTTAAATCAGTGGTTTCACATATAGGCGAGACGTTCCCGGAAGACGAGCGTAGCCAGGCGAGACTCGAGGGTTACGACCCAGCTACATACCAGTGAGTAGGCTTTTGGTTTTCTATATATATACGTATATATGATTTACATTTTCCCAAAAATTGTTTTAAATGAAATTATGTTTTAAATGCCATGTCTATTGCATTACATTTGAGTATATGCATTAGTATAGATATGCATATTATTGCATGGTGCTGCGGACGCTTAGGTAAGCTTCAGGTGAGTACATATTGATGATAATGATTGTAGAGTATATGGTTATGTTTAGATGCATTTAGTGCTCATTATCCTGCACTCCGGTGTTAGTGCTCCGCCCCGGACCAGGTCTAGCCTTCACGTGATCGTTCACTTCCCACACCACACGCTCACCTTGGATCCAAGGCAGGTGTCAGCCTGTCGTACAGACCACATTAGGTGGTTCTGACTCGTAGGTGACTTGCGATACTTCGCACAGCCTTCACGTGATCGTAGCACTTGAGCGTATCTATTTACACCCAGCCTGTCGTACAGACCACAATAGTGGTTCCGACTCGTGTGCAGGAATTGGTTATGAACTATAAGTTCAGCCGTACAGGTCACGTTAGGTGACTCCGGCTGATATATCATTTTATATTGATTTACATCACCTGGCTTACATAGTTATTATTGAGATACTTGACATGGCATATACTGTGGTTTTCATTACTCTCGAACCTGATTTCTATATATGTATATATTGTTATTTTTTGAGAAATTATATGGATTTTATGGTGAGGGGTTATATGTTTTGGAAGTGAAATGGTTTTGAAAATTTTTATTTTTGCCCACTCACATTTTCTATTTTGCGCCCCTCCAAATTCTAGTTAGAAGTTCGTGTTGGTGGCTCACGAGGATCCTACGGCGGTTCTGACAGACATCCATCAATATAGGGTTTTCTTTCATATCTTGTATAATTAGTATTTAGCTTGCTGGACTGCACTTTGGTACTTGCACTCTGATTATGTGTATCTACACTCTAACACTTCCAATCGTACTTTTATACTAGTCTAGTGTAACTTAGTTAGTTTGATTTTTATTTACCCACATTATCTTATCACTTTCATTTCCGCACGGCGCACATGGCTACATCATCTTCACATGACGACCAGCATGCCTCGACTTAGGTCGGGGTGTGTCAAAGTGACAAAATAAAAAAATAACTAAAAGAAAACGGTTTTTGAAAATTAAATGTAAAAGCCTAGAGTTCCGCCATCACCTTAACAGACCTATGTAGTTCTTCCAATTACTTATGAATTACACATGCATATTTTGAAGGTTAAGTTTTCCTAAAGTATGCCTACTTGGACCCCCAACATAGAGTGAATATCAAACATGCAACTTGTCTTTGGTATTCAGATCAAATCTAAACATGCATGACTCATTAAGCTTTGTGAAACCTTTTGAAAAACCATACAACCTTTAAGACGTGGTATTCATCCTAAGTGAACTTGCACATATTAACCACATGAAGCCTTCGTCAATTTAAGGGACCAACCTCTGTCCAAAATTGCATAAAATTACTTTTCTAAAGATCCTAATAGTAGCTAAGCATTAAGACAATTAGATAGTATAAATAGGTGATTAATAATTCAAACCTGCATACATAATATCATAAGCAAATTCAAAAGAAACTACAGTCTACATATTCTTGTTAAGGCTCGTGGCCTCACCCTAGCAAACTGAAATTAGTTACTAACAATCATAAAACAAAATATTATTAAAAACAATGATTGAAAACACCTTGAAGATAAACTTGAATTGTCAAAAACTCCAAAGTAAAGCGTTCTTCTCCTCTCTCTGCTCACCCTAATGGCTAAAAAGCCTTATTTATACTACTACATAATTAAAATCCTTACTAGAAAAGGTCTTTTAAAAACTAGGAAACATAATAGAATTAGATAACTAGGAAATACATTCATATTCTAACTTTGAAAAATCTGCCCAGCCACAAATCAGCCATGTTTTTGGACTTCCGGAGCTCCAAAACAGGCTCAAAATGACTTGAACTAAAACTTGAGATGTCCCAAACATAATTGCAGAAGGTCTTGAACACAAAATACATCATCTTGGACACCAAAAAGTCCAAATAAGCCCAAAATGTCACTTTGATAGTATTGCACGCTGCTCCTTTATTTCTTCGCCATAAATAAACTACTTGGTAGAAAAATATGAAACTTTGACACAATCAAGTTGAGAGACACATGAACGTCCTCCA